CCTACGAACCCACAGCAGTCGATACTGACACCGCTGACACCCAATGACACCTACTGACACCTCAACCCTTGCCCTAACTCACTTGTCTCATCCGTGTTGAGGATGCGTTCCGGCGGGAGCTTGGTCTCCTCCAGGTACTCCGCCCATGCTTTGTAGAAAGCTTGAAGGCGAGGCTCGCCGTCTTCGTTAATCCGGTTTGCTTCGTAGATGTGGGTGGCTCGCTCCGACAAACCCGGGTGTCTCGCCATAAACCCCTCAAGCCAGCTGTCCCCAGGGCCCTTGTCTGGGTCCCAGGGCACCTTGCGCCCGTCGGTGCAGATGTTGCGCACAGCGTCTCTCAGCTCCCTCCGACCCAACAGCAAGAAGTGTCGGGAGGCGTAGATCAAGACGTCTTCTACGAAATCTTCCTCCTCCTTGCTCAGGACAGTCCCGGGACCAACCCTCGCATCTATGGCCACCTTGTTCTTCACACGGTCGTGCAGCGAGGCTAGCGGTAACCCGTAGGTCCTCGCAGCAACGCGGAGCGACATCTCACCGCTGCGTACCGCATCTACAGCCTTCTGGGCCTGCTCTGGGTCTACTCTCTTACGTCCCATGCTTAGCAGCAGGACCCCGAAAGGGGCAAAGATGCCCCACATAAGGGGTGTGGGTGAGGGCTGTGCTGTATCTCGGGAGTGCTTGACCCGATCGACACGCGGAGGTGCTCAAACGAAAGCTAACGGAAAGCTGAAGATTTCAAAAAAAAATTGGGGGGCTCCGCGCATTGTGCGCCGAGGGACGTGCATTTGAAAAAAGTGTTCGTTAAAGGGGGGGTGTTCGTTAATACCCTGGTTTACTCTAATAATGCTGCCGACATATATCTAGGTCTCATTGCCACCTAATGCAAAATGTTCGAGGCGATTTAGTGCGGTAGAAAATAAGCATGGTGTGTTCAAAATTCAAATTTCAGGAGAGCCCACGCCGGGGGTTTCGAACGTACGCTCTTGCATGTTGCGCATGTACATCCACTGGATACACGACCCCCATCGAAAGATAATATGGAAATGCCCGATACAGTCCGGCCGCCGCAACAATTTATAGGAAATCTGGACCTCGAGAGGGCAAGTTCGTCTGTCTTGGAGTTGAAATTAGACTCGGTGTTTTGCCATGGTACGAGTCAAACATGACCCTGGGCGCTCAGCTACGGACACTCCAGACCGTGCATATACAGCAGTAGACTAGATTGAAACGCCGCAGAAATGTCGAGTCGGGCATGTGTAGTACGTAGATCGACAGCTTTCTTCCGTCATGCTCGAAAAGACATAAGCATGCCCATACAGAGGATCATATATTATGTATGGCTGTCAAGAGAAAACGAAGCGCGCCCACAGACAAAGCATAGGTGTGCGCCTGCGTAGGCTGTACGTATCACGTAACATTTTGTAATTTTTGGTCGTGTACCATAGCCAGGTACTTAATGCATGGGATAACGGCCGGCACAGGTCGTGCTGACAGATGACCCGTCGGAGAGGTAGGCGGGGAAACCGGGCTGGTGGGGCTAACAACCCCACAGGTCAACCGGCTCCGCCACCGGCTACGCCTCGGAACCAGCCTCGGAGCGCTGTTACACCCGGAAGCGGGGGTATGCAGCCAGCATGGGACCTTCGTCAGCGTACGGAAGGCACGCTAACCCCGCGTACTCCAGTGGTCGAGAACCCAGGGGGAGACGTAACAAGTGAACGTCCACGGATCGGGAGCAGGAGAGAGGGCAACCTAACCACTGAGGTGCGCACCCCCCCCGCCGCGACAAAGCGCGACGCGAGAGATTCCGGTGCACGCGTCCGTCGGACGGGAGGAAAATCCCGGTCGGGCAGGAAGCGCAGGAAGAGGCCCTCTGTTGGTGTCACGGGTGGTGACCTCCCCAATCTTGAGTGCAAGCTCGAGGAGGAGGATTACTACAGACCGCAGGGCGAGGCGAGGAGGGAGGCATCGGCCCGTAAAGCTCGCGCGATTGCCGAAGACGAACGGCGAAAAGCAGAGTCCGCGGGGGATCACCCCGTTGATCCTCGGCGTAGGAGTCACGGCGGGAACCCACGACAAGCCGGTTATCAGCCTGGAAAGCGGAATGGGGGTAGGAGACTTCCTGCCCCAGCGGTGCTATCTGTACGCCAACCAATAAGCAAGAAGCGAAGAAAGGCGTGCGGGCGTATGGAATGCGGATGAGTTACAGACCACCCTGGCACCGAGTGTAGCAAATGCCTATCATCCAGGTGGTGTAGATGCGCGGGGCCTTGAGATGGGAGGGGTAGGTGCCACGGAGGCGCTTTCCGGAACCGGACCACTCCTTCACTTTCGAAACGGAAACGACCCTGCCCCTGGTGTCGAGCGGCAGCGAGGGCCAGACATCGGCGCGGCGGAGCTCTCCGTGATACACTTGATCGTTTGGGCGAAGAAGTACTGGGGGCAACGCTTCGACAAGTGGATCGTTTCATCGGTAGACACGGACCTATGGATGATCATCCTACTGGCGATGACCGCTGGTTGGCTTCGGCCTCGTGGCGAGGGGGCGGTAGACGTGACCGTCCACGTGAGTGGCGAGACCAAGTTCCTGTGAATGAACAGAGTATTCGTCAGCATCTGCGAACTCCAGGACGGAAGCGAGTCCGCTTGGCCGCTATTGACCTTCAGGGGCTGGATTCCCACGGACAACGACAAGGCCCGTCTGTTCGTCCTATCGTTCCTGGAGTCGGACTGTGACTACCTCCCGGCAATTTCCGGGCTGTCGTTCGACAAGATGTGGGTACTGGCCCTCAAGAGCGTGCGGACTGAGGGTTTGTTTGACAAGTCGCTGTTCTTCGAGGATCAGGATGGCACGTGGGCCGTGCATGTCGACGAATGCGCGAAGCTTTTGGCGACCATGTTCTTCTACAAGGATGAAGCGGTATTTGGTACTGCTCATTTGACTCCAGCCCAGCTGGTCGAAAGCGTTGACGGCGACGTCGAGGGCTACGTGGACGTGATCCGCTACGCCATCCTCCAACTCCCCAAGAAGAAGACGACAGCCACCTGTCCATCTTTATTTTCCTTGCGCAAGCAGGCAGAACGAAGTAACGCCATCTTCCGGTACTGGCAGAATGACCTGAGGTAGACCATGCCGGCGACAGAGTTTGCCGGCAAAGGATGGAGCGTCGACCCANTATTTGGTACTGCTCATTTGACTCCAGCCCAGCTGGTCGAAAGCGTTGACGGCGACGTCGAGGGCTACGTGGACGTGATCCGCTACGCCATCCTCCAACTCCCCAAGAAGAAGACGACAGCCACCTGTCCATCTTTATTTTCCTTGCGCAAGCAGGCAGAACGAAGTAACGCCATCTTCCGGTACTGGCAGAATGACCTGAGGTAGACCATGCCGGCGACAGAGTTTGCCGGCAAAGGATGGAGCGTCGACCCACGAGAAAAGGGGAGCGACGGCGACGAACTCACAAAGGAGAACTGCGTGCTTGACCTGTCCGAGAATGCTTACATCGCCCCTGACCGAAAGACAGTCACGCTTGCGTGTGGTTGCAACCCGGACATGGCCCTGTGCAACAGGTGCAGTGCAACAACAAGCTCGTTCGCTTGCGACTGCAGAAATCGTTGCACCCTACGGCGGGCGGCGCCGGCACCCGTGCGTGCAGGGGGGAGGTCTGCGTCACGGCCTACGGTGGGTGCTTCTCAAACTAGGCGGGTAGAGGGTACCTCCCGACCCCAACCACCCATCGAGAGTCGACCACGGCCATCCTACAGTGCTGCCAATGCCATGGCACTCTTTGCCGCCTCTATGAGGCAGCAGGAATCGCATGGAGCGGAACAGAACGACGTGGAGGCGGGGACCCCCGAGTAGCCTGCGAGCAAGGACGTTTCCGCCGGCGAGGCCGCGGAATCTAAGAGCGCAGAGTTAAGAGGACCCCGAGTCGGACGAGAACGGCGACGGTTTGGTCGGTGCACTCGACGATTTGATCAAGTTGGATTCGAGCGAATCTGACTCCAGCCATGGGGAACCTGACGGGGTGAGCGAGAAGTGCGTCGACTTCAACTAGAGTGACGGAGACACAGATGATGGTGTTGCGGATCTCGTAACCGACGCCTGGAACTGAGATCTGGCTACTTCTTCAGGCAGGTACACTTACACATATACCGGTCGCCCCGGTGGTCTAGTGGGTAGCCTCGCAGCCTGCTAAGGGCCAGGTCATGGGTTCGAGTCCCGGCAGTTATTCTCACTTAATAAATCCTGGTCTAGGATGAAAGCGACGCGCTGCAAAGCTCGTTGTCAGTAAACCATAATCGACTTCGTAAGTCGCGGGGGAAGGGATTGCTGTACCCTTCTCGCGATAAAAATACCTCAGGCATGAACCCTCTCCGCCTCCCCCCTCCTCCCCTCCCCGGGGGAGGCCGAGGCCCGCAAGTGCAGTTAACCCTCGAAAAAACCACCCAACAACGACGNTTCGCGATAAAAATACCTCAGGCAGACACCGCAGGAGGGGGTCCAGCCCCCCCCTTCTATGTGACCCCGGATGGGTTCGTCTAGCTAGTAGAAGTGGAGGATAGGGGCAGACGACAGAGTCCAATGATGGGAGAAAAAAAATATATAAAGTGGTAATTTTCAAGGACCCGATTTTGGTTGTCCCTCCATAACTTTTGACTGATAGCGAGTAAAAGAAAAAGAAAAACAGCTTCGGAACGCCCGCGGCAAGGCACAAAAGAGTAGTGAGTCGCCGAAAAAAAAGGAAAAAAAGAGAAAAAAAAGAAAAAAAGATGCTCGGGGCGGGTCTCGAACCCACGAAATTGGCCATAGAGCAACTTTTCCCCCATATATGTTGCTAATCCTTTTTTTTTTTTCGCACCAAACCACCCACACGTGCACAGGAACGCCCTCAAACACTATGCAAATGCCTCTACCGCACCTACAGCGTACACACATCACAAAAATTGGCCGTTTTCAACAAAAATGTTCCATTTTTGTACAACATTCCCACCAGAAACACGGAAAAAAACTGAACAAATACAGCTCAATGAACAAGAATGCGCCATCGACTCTACGGCCTCCATTCCTTCGGGGTCGGGCGCCTGTGCGACTTGTACTTCTTGTACGTCTTCTTGCCCTCAGGCCCTTGCACACGCGTCTCGCGGTACATGAGGGCGTGTGTGTACGCCTTCTTGCAGTAGCCCTGGACTACCGAAACAGCCTGTCTATCCTCCTCTGGTCTAAAACTCAGCGGCACGTTCTTGCGCAAGCATTTCAACGAATATTTGCAGTTCTTTCGAGTCCAGTCCTTCGCTCGGCCCCAAACAAGCTCGATGGGGTTACACTCGCAGTGGTACTTAGGAAGCATGAGACAGGCCCCCCCGTGGCGCTGCATCAACAGCACCAGACTAGAATCAACTTCCTTGAAGTCCTTCTGCTCTCCCAAAACGTGCTCCATGCTCTTGCTGAGGTCCTGCTTTTCGCCCGAGCCCCCCGTCTTACTCATGCCTTTGACCAGGAGCCCCCTCTCCCACAAAATCTGCCGCATTCCTTTCAACTTTCCGACATATTGCGCCGGCTTGAGATGCGGGGAGTGGAAGGGGGGATCGTCCCCCCTCCGAAACACCAAGTGCTGTACCGTGCCGGCTGGGAGGTTCGGGGTATCTTCGAGGATGGTCACGGGGTCCATCGGCGCAAGCTCTTCTCCGTTCCTCACACCACCGACACCCAAGTTCATTCTCTTCACCGACGGTGCGCCGACCTCCATGCAGTCATGACAGGACGACCAGTCGAACAGGCCTACAGGCTTGTGCTCAGGGTAGAGAACTGTGAACATGTCGAGCACGTCTGACATGTGGTCCAGCATCCTGAGCCCGGTCCAGTATCCCTCCTTGTTCTTGCCGTACTCGAAGAGGTGGTAGGACCAGTACTGTCCATGCTCGTCTTCATGAAGCATGTCGATGGGGCGGAACTTCTCCACCTTCACGTTTTCCCCCCGTCGCTTCGCGGCAGCTGAGGCGGCGCATCGTTTCCTGCGGTTGCGCTCCGCGTCCTGGATCTGTGCCCGCGACGCCGAGAAGAAGCCAACGTTGTGGATTATCGTCCCCGACACCATGATCCCCTGGCCTTGTGACTTCTTCACGGGCACATGCTGGCCGTCCCGATACCACGCGCGCCTCTGGTCGTCGTTGGCTGCAAATACAAACAAGAAACCGACAATTTAGGGGCGGGAGATGTGGCGCTGTCAACATGTGTGATTAAATTCAAAGTCCCACAATTGAATTGCGAGCAAGATTAATGTTCGCGCCCGGAATTTACACCTGAATTATCAAACCCGCTTTGCTCCGTTTAAAACTAACCTCGAAATATGCTCTCATCCTGGTAGAGAAGCATGGCCCGCCTCCCGTCAGAGTAGGTTTTCTTGCTCTGCACTCTGGCTTGCAGGTCTTCGAGCAAGTCTGCCAGCGCAGACTCGAGATCATCGACACAAACCCAGACACCACCATCCGGCAAGCGCTCGGTCTCCTCCACCGTCTCGACGTCAACACCCCAGACGATCGCTTCATCCTTGCCCATCGGAATCCATACCTCCATGTAGTCGCGGGTGTCGAACAGCGCCGGGAGGAACTTGTCGTGCCGGTATTCAAGGGTCTTCTTGTCGTCGTGGCCATCGAAGTACAGCCCCTTTTTGCCGTCGTGGTATTCGCATCCCATCTTCTTCAGCCACTCCGTTGCCGTAGAAAGGGAGATTTGGCGCTTTGGCGGCTCGTTCTCCTTCACTTCCACCAGCTTTACTCTCAATCCATGGAAAGCGTTGATGCCGTCCGTTTCCTGCTCCTCCAGCATCGGCATGACGGTGCTGTTCACCCACTTGCGGAAATCCTCCGTCGTTTATTGGCTTGCCCACTGAGTATCCCGCAGTTCTCGAGCACCCAGCCTTTCGCGAGCTTGAAGACGCCTTCGTCGCGCGCCAGCAAAAACCTGAGCTTGAAGCGACCTGTGTCAGGTTTTTTTATGCGTCCGTGGGCGATGAAATCCCGCTCCCACTGCTGTACTGTTTGAACGGTTCTCCGTCCAACCTCTGCTGCGATGGCCAGTGCATCCTTCCGGTCGAAGCCGTCGGCCTGCTGGGTGTACAACTGGATCAATGTCATGGCCACTTGCACCGTGTGCGCCAGCTGAAAGTTGGACAAACAGCTGTCTTCCGTACTTGTATCCTGCGCGAAGGGGGAGTGTCGAGGGTGGCAATAAACCTTTAACTTTCAGTGGCCAATTTGTTTGACAGCAGTATTTCAAGTGTAATTTTTCAAGGTTGAGTGCAGGCAAATTAATTTGCAGAGCGGGTGCGAAGTACGTGCAGGTTGGTCAATTTCCGACGGCGGAGGTTGCAGATTGGTGCCGCCCGAGAAACCCCGCCACGATAAATTAATAATAGTAATGTCGTGAGATGAATTTACAGCAGTGTAGATTACTACAGACCTCAGAGCCCCCAGGTTCGAGCACGGCATGCGTGAAGAAAAAAGAGGATCACACTTAATTTAGACTGTGTAGACTACTGCCCTCACATCGTTCATCTCCGCGGCTGCGCTGATCGTCTTCGCCACATCACTCACAACGCCGTCGAGGAGCTCGATGCTCTCAGCGCGAAACTCGTCCGCCGCTGCCGCCAGCACCCGAGCTTTCATCTCCGCCCCTTTCGCACGCCTAATCTTCTTTGCAGCTTGAGATGTGCTGTACGTGCCCTTGTTCAGGTATCTCCTCTTCGCCTCTTCGGCCCACTCGGGTTCGAACTCTATCCACGCCCGCACGACTTCTTCCAGACTGCTTGCAGAGGGTTGAATGCCCCAGGAACGGCCTCCTCTAGTTCCTGCCGAAGTGTCAACGTACGCACCCGCCGGGCCGCCCTCCCCAACTTTCCAAAGGGCCGCCCACTGTAGTCCCGTTGTCCACCCCAATTTGGATCTCGCGATCTTTGCGCGCCTGCGAGACCGGGTTCTTGTAGTGAACCAACGGCTGGCGCTGCGGCTCGAACTGCGGTATTTAGAACCAGTTTGTTTCAAGGATTCCAAAAATATGCATATACAGTAGTGGGCCCTATGTAGTGCAGGGGTCTGTCGTGAGAAGTTACCTGCACTATAGCAGGCACCTGCACTACTGAAAAGGGTGCCCTCGAT